TTTTCTCTTTTAAATGTCTTACATGAGGAAAGACCAAAGGGAAAAAAAAAAAAAAAGGTGGCTGCTGGGCTGAATGACAGAATTTTACCTGAGAATAAGAAGTATGCTAAACAGTGACAAAATTGTGTAAAAAGTTGTTTTACTTTTGACACTGGATTAGTAACAAGTCTTGCTGGGAGAAGAGATTGTTACTGTTATTACCTTTAGGCTTGTATAAGAGACTAAAGGAAAACTTGCCTAAAAAGTTACTTGAGCAAGAGGCCCCATGATGCATTTTCTTCTTATATGATACATGTCATTATTTTAAAGCATGACATCAGTAAAAGAAAGTTGGATCTATGCCATAAGGTGCATCTATGCCTTTCCTTGAAAGTCTTCAAAACAAAAAAGTAATCAAAACAGAAGTGCCATACCAGTGAGGCTCACTGGTGATTTGGCTGCTGCTCAACACTGTAGAAAGGCAACCCATTACATCTCAAATTAGGCAGCTTTGCTTCAGCAACATGGGATTTCCCAGTGGTCTTCAATTTGTACTCCATCAGGAGTCATCTGTCAGTAAGTCCTTTATGGCAATGAATCAGAGCAACACCCTTGTGCCAATAAGAGACACACTGGGTTTGAGATGCAAAGACTTGTCTGGGGTGAGAAAACCAATTCAGATAAACCTATTTATAGGGGAAAACTCAGTCAGTTGTAACAAGCCCACACAAGGTCCCACAGTGCATTTAAACCTTACTTGAATGAAATTTTAGTATGCATTTTCTGTACAGTTTGGGTAGGAACGTATCTGTTACAGTCAAAGGCAAAGTGCAGAGAAGTCAAAGGTCCACAGAAAGCAAATGAAAATAAACCAAAAGGAAAACAGACTCTGTAAGTCTTTCTTTGCCTGTCCAGACTTTCTCCCTAGACATTTAGGTAGAGCCATGAGAGTTCAGGGAACCTGGCCCAAGAGAGCAATGGTTTAAGCCCAGTAAAAAGTAAAAAACAGGTTTATGTACTTAATCATGTAGTAAATGAGCTAAGGAATACAGCAATACAGATAGGACATTGCATATTTGTGTACTACCATAGTATAACATGTATGCAAGAGATAATTATGTGAGTAAAGAATGCAAATAAAAAAAAGTAAAAATAAACAGAGTTTTAAAAAATATAAATATGGGTTATTCTAAAGAAACACTAAGAGACAAATTAGTTATTGGGACAAAATTTTACGTAACATATCTAAGTTCTACAAGTTTCAAGATTTTGAGTACCTGCAGTTGAAAAATTCTATGAATATAAAATAAAGGGCAAGAAACACAGCCAGGATGCCATACCCTTCTTTCATTGTCATAATGAATAATATGTCTTAAGTTACATAAAGTTACTATATATGGCCTGCAAGAGGTGTCCAAAGAGAGTGTTGAATCTCCTCAGAGATATTTGACAGTGCAAGGTCCTAAGCAACCTGAAGATGCCTTATGCCAGATTTTACTTGAGCACAGACAAGGCTAGGTGAACTTCAGGGATCACTTCCAATGCTAAGTAGTCTATCACCTTGATCAGCTGAAGGGTCAGGTTCAAAGACTTGTGCAGATGAGGTAACATCTGGCTGGGTACTAGGCACTAGTGTGTTCCCCAGGGATCAATTTTAGGGTCAGTTCTCTTCAATGTTTTCATCAATGACCTGGATACAGACATTGAGTGCACAATAAGTGAGTTTGCTGATGATATTACACTAGGAAGAGCCATTGATTTCCTTGGGGGCAGAGAGATCTTGAAAGATTAGAGCACTGGGCAATCACCATTTGTATGAAATTGAACAAGGACAAATGCCGGATTCTGCACCTATGATGGTGCAATCCTGGATGTTGTATAAATTGAGGGATGAGAGGCTGGAGCACAGGCCTGCAGAAAGGGATCTGGGGGGTTTCGTTGATGGTAAGCTCAACATGAGTCAACAGTATGTCCTGGCAGCCAAAAGGGCCAACTGTATCCTGTCGTGCACTAAGTACGGTACAGCTAACCGGTCAAAAGTGATTGTCCCATTATACTCAGCATTGGTGATGCCTCAACTCAAATGAAGTTTTGGGTTCTACTATATAAGAAGGATATAGAAATATGAGAATGAGTCCAAAGATTATGAAAGGACTAGAGGGCATGACTTACAAAGAGCAGCTGAGGATAGTATGTTTGTTCAGCTTAGAGAAGAGGAGGCTGAGGGGTGACCTCATTGCTGACTACAACTTCCTCATGAGGGGAAGCAGAGAGGGAGGTGCTAATCTCTTCTCCCTGGTGTCTGGTGATAGGGCACAAGGAATAGCTTAAAGTTTTGTCAGAGAAAGTTCAGATCAGGTATTATGAAAAAGTTCTTCACTGGGAAAGTGGTCAAGCACCAGAACAAGATCACCAGCAAAGAGGTCATGGTCCCAAGCCTGTCAGTGTTCAAGAAGTGTTTGGACAATGCTTTTAGATATATGGCTTATCTTTTAGTTTGCCTTGTGTAGAGCCAGGAGCTGGACTTGATGATCCTCATGGGTCCCTGTCAGTATGCTGTGATTCTGTTCTGTTTTCAAACTGCTACTTCACACTGTTTGTCTGTGGAGTATTTTGATTCATCTCTGCCTATCACCTTCAGTGTTTTCTGATGTGATAAATCCTATTTACTCTAACCAAAACTAAATTAGCTTAAGCAACAGTACCGCTCAGGTTCTTATCTTCTTATATCTCCAGATCCTTATCTTCTTATATCTCCAGTGGTTATAAAAATACTGTTCCCACTGTTATGTAAAACTAAATGGAAAACTGAGACCTATCTGAAAAGTGCAGATATTAAATAATGGCTCTACATTTTGCAGAGGGAAGACAGAGTACGGGTCCCTGGTGATGCATTTTACCAGTCACTGTTACACACAGATGGAAAACAGCCTCCATTTTTACCTCTCCATCTCCATATTTGGCTGCAAGGGAGCAGGCTTACGCAGAAGGCCAGGTGTGAATCCAGGCTCCCATAGGCTCTGCTGATGTACCCTTTCAGGCACACATGTTATCTAACAAGGCGTTGCGGTGCAGCCAAATCTGAAGCTGGACCCCACCAGCTCCATCCTTCCTCCCCATACAGCAGCTTTTCGGAGGCAAAGTAGAGCTTCTCCTGCATGCTAGTGTTGAGCTGAAGTCAAGAACCTGTTACTGGAGACAAATAAGGAAATGCAGATCTTCGCTCCAGTCAGCTCAGCCTCTCGTCTTTCCTAAGGCCTCCTCAGTGATATGCATACCTGGGGGGAGTTTAACTCACTTTGAGTCTCTAGTTCATAGGGACAGATGCAATATCTGTTAAAAGAGAAAAGCTAAAAATAACCTGATGTTCACTCTTGAGTGTTGGGCTGCACCCCTATTCTCACTGATGGATAAATAAAACATACATTTCAGGCTGTGGGCCAGAAAGTACTCTGCAGCCATGCCATGGGGGTTGCCAATGGATATAATACATTTACATACCAAGGGATGTAAAATCCATGTCAGGGCTCATGACTTGGGTTGTATCACAGGTCTAACAGTCCCTGAATTCTGCTCTCTCTCCCCCCTCTCTACAATGTCATCGCTCAACAACAGGAGTAACAGTGTCACTTGCTTAGTGTAATCTATAGGCTTTATCAGGAAAGTGAGTTTTGCAAGGTACAGTTTTCTCAGATTGAATTTCACACAGAATCCAGATACCTTGTTTCCTGGGCATCTCATTAAAGATGCTGAAAACATCTGAAAGGCTTCTGCTTGCTCCTGCACGGGTGGTGCTGGTCATACTTGGGTTGCCCAGAGAGGTAGTGGAGGCCCCATCCCTGGAAACATTCAAGGCCAGGTTGGACGGGGCTCTGAGCAACCTGATCTAGTTAGCAGCGTCCCTGCTCACTGCAGGGGGGTTGGACTAGATGACCTCTAAAGGTGCCTTCCAACCCAAAACATCCTATGATTCTATGATACTCCTGTGACTATATATTCTCAAATATATAGAATCATAGAATCATAGAATCGTTTTGGTTGGAAAAGACCTTTAAGATCATCGAGTCCAACCTTTAACCTAATAAACCATGTCCCTAAGCACCTCATCTATCCTTCTTTTAAATACCTCCAAGGATGGGGACTCTACCACCTCCCTGGGCAGCCCATTCCAGAGCCTGACAACCCTTTCGGGGAAGAAGTTTTTCCTAATATCTAACCTAAACCTGCCCTGGCGCAGCTTCAAACCATTCCCCCTCGTCCTATCATCCATTACCAGGAAGAAGAGGCCGACCCCCTCCTCACTACAGCCTCCTTTCAGGTAGCTGTAGAGGGCGATCAGGTCTCCCCTCAGCCTCCTCTTCTCCAGACTGAACAACCCCAGTTCCCTCAGCTGCTCCTTGTATGACTTGTTCCAGACCCCTCACCAGCTTGGTTGCTCTACTCTGGACATGCTCCAGCAATGCAACATCCTTCTTGTAGTGAGGGGCCCAAAACTGAACACAGTATTCGAGGTGCGGCCTCACCAGCACCGAGTACAGGGGCACGATGACTTCCCTTGTCCTGCTGGTCACACTATTCCTGATACAGATCACTGATAAAATATTAAACAGAACTGGTCCCAGTACTTAGCCCTTGACCAAATGTTTACCAATTCCTTACTTGTAGTGTTGGATCTGATGTATGGAAATTTTCACCTGTAGAGTAGGTCTGGTCATCGTTGGCTGATCATAACTGCCATTTGACACGCATGGGATGATCTGCATGAAAATGTTGGGACAGTTTTCTTAGCAGTAATCAAGATGATAAATAAATAGTAATTTTATAATTAATCAGTAATGGTTGATTACTGATTGTTTCAGTGCTAGTTGCTTGAAATATGCTGTAAAGACTGACCTGTCTTCTTATTGCTGTAGGGAGACCGGTGATATTTCTGTACATACTGGTCTTAATTTTTGTAGGCAGATATTCTGTTTGCCTGAGTATTAAATTAACTTGAAAGTGAAATACTAAAAATGTATTCATTTTAGTTTTACAGATACTGTGATAAAAATCCGGAATCGACACAATGATGTAATTCCTACAATGGCTCAAGGAGTAATAGAGTACAAGGAAAGCTTTGGCATTGATCCAGTGACCTCACAGAACGTGCAGTATTTTTTAGACCGTTTCTACATGAGTCGCATTTCAATTAGAATGCTTCTTAATCAACACTGTAAGTGCCATTGTTGAAAGGAGGGGAAATGATACCTGTACTATGTCAGTATCATAGAATCACTTTGGTTGGAAAAGACCTTTAAGATCATTGAGTCCAACCTTTTACCTAACACTGCCATCCCGCTACTAAACCATGTCCCTAACATATAGTATATTTTCGTTTCATTTTTAAGTAAGTGCTTCATATGTACTTAAATTCTCCTTAGGAGTACACTATTTGCCTTGCTATTTATACATTCATTCTTAACACAATTCTTAAAATATTTATTAACAGTAGGCTTTAAAGTATGGTGAAGATTGGAATTATAGATTGCCTATACATTTCTTATTTAGCAAAACTGAAGACAAACTAAAATTACAAAATTATATTGGGTATTAAATAATATTTTCTTTTTTTGACAGCTTTACTGTTTGGTGGGAAAATTAATCCAGCTCATCCAAAACACATTGGAAGCATTGATCCTAGCTGCAATGTTGTTGAAGTTGTTAGAGGTAAATTCAGCAAATAAGAACAAGAATCCTGAAAACTTACATGAATGTCTATAGTGAGAGCCAATATACATCTTGATATTAATATACTGTTTAGTTCTTTCCTACCCGGGGCAGAAGTTTCATTTAAAGTTTAATATAGTTTTACCACTTTTCCCTATAAACCTAGTTTTTGTGAGAAAATACAAAATCTCCCTCCCAGTGCATGGTGTTTTCAATTTTTGTTTTTCTTTTTGGCAAACTGTAAAGGAGAAAACAAAAAGTGGAGGGGGAAAGGTGACTTTGTGTGGTTTTATTATAGATGGCTATGAAAGTGCCAAGAGACTTTGTGATTTATATTACATGAGCTCTCCAGAACTCATCCTTGAAGAGTTGAATGGTAAGTGAATATGGGACAAAGCACTCTCTTGTGAACATAGTGATGGCTTTGTCTAAAGTAGCTGGTGGTGAAATGTTCTCATTCCACTTTTCATGTAGTTAATGTGTTCTCTGTATCTACTGTCATAGTTTGGGATTTATTTTTTTTTTTTAATCTGGCAAAAGGCTTTCCCTATTCTTCCCTTTAATTAGAAAACTGAAATCAGTACACAAGTGTTTGACACTACAGCTGTTGACGTAACAGGTATTAGCAGCCTCCTTCTATCCCTAAGATTTTTGTATGTCTTGACCTTACACTGTCTATTGCATCTCACCCTCTCTGTATTTCTTGTGACACTTTTAAGATTTATACTAAAAATTCCATTCTAATTTCTCTTGCTTATTCAGCTATCATGTTCTTGATGTCTAATTAGATATAGTATACTCAAGATGTGGTAAAAATTATTTGAACCCATTGGCTGTGACTTGAACAAACAGTTTACAACTCAGAGGTCAGCTCTTGTCCTCATAGTCCTGAATGCTAAAGAGCCTTTCTGGCACTACGCACTAGAGTGCTTTTCAAGTTCGGACAGACCTACAAAAACAAGCAATCAAAATTGCTTCTACGAGTAATTGCGAAAGCCAAAGTGCAACCACATTAACTTTGCCTATGAAGCTAAAGGCAAAGAAAGTGTGGCCTTGATTACACGTTCCAGATCTCTTCTTCCTGCTGTACAAAACCTGTCATTCTGTGTCTAGATTAAAGGGCTTACCTCTCTTCATCTTCGGAGCATGATACTAAAAATGTCTGTAGGGAACTGTCAGTCACGCTAGCTAATTCTCTGTACTGAGGGGTCATTTAATGGTGTATGTGCTCCAGAAGCCAGAACAAATAGTTCAGTTTTTATAAAAGGAGCGACCTTTTGCTCAATGAATCATGAATCCTGAAGTCCCTTTTGATTGACTTCGGGCTCCTCTCTGCTATCTCATCGCTGCCTGCCTGTACAATCAACAGCGGATAGTAGTCTGAGGGCCGTACCAGACCAGGGAGTCTCTTTGCAATGTCCCTGACCCGGGCCCCAGGGAGGCAGCAGACTTCCCTGTGGGATGGGTCCGGGCGGCATATTGGGCCCTCAGTTCCCTTCAGAAGGGAATCGCCCACGACAATTACCCTTCTTTTTTTCTTTGTACAATCAGTTTTGATAGGTAGGGGTGACCTTTTCTCCCTAGCCAATCCCCCGGACGGGCCTTCATCCCCATCCTCCGTTGCCTGGCCCTCGACTTCCAGTGTCCCATATCTGTTGTGCAAGGGCAGCTGGGACGGTGAGGGAGGCCGGGAGGGGATTCTCCTCCTGCCCCAAGCAGAGACCTTCTTCCATTCCCCACCATTCTTTGGGTCCCTAACCTCTGTCCGCTGGCAAGAGGGCAGGGGATCCTCTGTTTCCTGTGGAGCCTCTGTCTGCTGCCTCGGCCTGAGGGACGGGAGGGTGCGGCTCCACCAGTCTATCTCCATCTCGCATTCTCTAATGCTCCTTAATCTCTCCACCTCCTCTTTCAGCTCTGCCACCAGGCAGAGCAAATCATCCACCTGCTCACACCTGAGATGTAGATGCTTCATTAATAACTAAGGAATCAATATATGAGGCTCAAGCAGTATTCCTACCTTTGTAGGAATGACATGTACATTGTGGTTTGTACATTTAGATAGGATCTTCTGGCTTGCATTACAAAAAGCTCCTTGGCAAAACAATTTTTAAGAAACACTGCTCCATGAAACACCTGATGTATTTCATAGAACACTAAAGAGATTGCCATGCTATACTATGCATAGTGCATACATTTAAGTCCTTTATGCTTGTAAAAAACCTCTGGGATTTTCAAGAAGAAAGGAACTACAAAAATAAAACTCAGCACTTAGAGCATTGTATGATCACTTAAGAAAAAGCTATAACGATTTAAAATGGATTTTATCCTTTAGCTGGATCTTACCTCCCTCCATCTGAATCACTATAATGTACATTTCAAATGCCCATAGTCTGCTCCCATGTAAAATCATTCAGGTTAACCTGAATCAGGCTGTGACAAACAAGAACCTCTATTTGTTTAGGCTGGAGGTTCAGAAAATGAAGGCTGAATTTTCCAGTCATTTGTACAGAACCATATATAATTACTGAAGAAAACTGATTTTCATTCTTGAGGATAAATTTATGTCACCATAAGTATACAGTAGGGCCACATTACCTACAAGAAATAGGTAAAAGAAATTGAGAATTTCAGGAG